GTGAGTGGAATCGCGGGCACAGCGACCAGGGCGCAGGCTCAGGCACTCACTCGGTAAACAGCAAGCGCTTCCCAGGGAGAGCAGAGGGGCCTTCCCAGGAGAGCCCAGCCAGTGCAAACAGCAGTCCCCTCTCTGTCACAGCTCTCGGTGTATTCAAACAGGAGAGCACGATGGAATACAGGCTGCCAGGGAAAGGCATTCTTAGGACATAACGCACATAGCTTTGTTGGCCTCCCTTAGTTTTAAAAATTGTTTCTTAAGAAAGAAAGAGGTCTCTCTCGTGTGGATAAAAAGTTCTTTCGGAGGCACCTGCACCTGGTAAGTAAGTAGCATCTGATGGAGGAGACTCAGATGCCAGCGTCGACCTTCCAAGCGAGCAGAGGCTCCTCCTGTGGTCCCTCACGCTGTCCCTGTCCACACTCACGTCACTCACGCGCTGGGAGTGTGCAGTGTACAGTCTCGTGGCTCCAGCTGAGGCCTCTCAAAGGGAAACTAGAATACCTTCCCCACGCACCCAACTCAACAGTCGGACATTGCCGTGGAGATGTCCAACCATCATCTACAAATCTACATTTGAAAGTTGCACTTTCTCATTTTAACCGTCAAGGCTGCTACCTGCCCCCAAACTGCATGTCTGTCTGAGGTACCACCCCCGGCCGCTCCAGGCTCGGGGGCTGCACAGCTGCGGCTCATCTTTAGCTCCCCGTCCCCTTCGTCAGTTCCGGCCACAGTTTGCTTCCAAATGTCTCTGGGGTTTCCCATCCCCTCCATCTCCACGGTCCGGGGGTTTAATACTGCGTACCAGGAAGCCTTCCACAGCCTTCCGGGAGTCTCCCTGTTTCTCATCTATTTTTTGTCAAATGCATCTTTTTAGATGCTCCCTGGGTCTTACCCCTCCCTTGCTCCAGACCCCGCAGACACTTCCCACTGTCTCCTCCCCGATACAGCTCCTCTGCCTGCTTTCTGTACGATGCTCCTTTCTGGTCTCTTCAATCATTTCCTGAATCTTTCGGCTTCGGCTGTCAGGCCTCTCTCTGTCCTCCAGCTCCGCTATATTCCTTCCAGCCCCCCTGCCTTTGCTTGTGCATGCAGCAGGGGCATAATGGGTGCCAGGTGTGTCCAGGCTCAGGGCTCTGCAAATTCTTTGCCTCTCCCCTCTCTCCCCGCTGGTATCTACCCTTCCTCTACGGCCCTCCACGTGACTCTCGTGTCTTATCTGATCCCGTTTCTTTTTTTATAATCTAAATTTTAATTACACAAGGGATATAATCTCCATGTTCTTTAAAAATGAACTTTGCAGACAAGGCTAAGGTCCCCTTCAATCGTCGTCTTTCCCCCTTGCCTAGGTAACATGTTAAGTGTTTGAGGAGTATATTTCCAGATCATTTTTGCCATTTTCAGACATATATATATGCCCATACGGCATATGTAGTATTTATATTGTATATGCCTATTAAAAAATATAAATGGCATCATGCATTTATATTTTGTAAACTCACTGAATCTATCCATGTGAGCCTACCTGGATGAGTTAACTTTGGTTAACTGATGCGTACTACTCTCTAATATGAATAACCATTTATTTGACCGTTGCCTCTTTGGGGGGCATTCAGTTATTCCAGTGTTTAGCTCTATAAACCTTGCTTCACCAAACCTGAGAGCACTTCCTTTTGCCCATGTGGGAATTGCATTCACTGATAGTGTTTTCTTAGAATCGCACAGTAAAATTAGAGCCAAGCTGACATTTATCGAATGATTCCTAAGTACCAAGCACGGAAACAGGCATTTGTACAACCGACTTTCAGTTAGATGTTATCATTTCCCTTTTTATAGATGAGAAAACTGAGGCATCAAGAGGTAAAGTGAATCAGGTCAAGTGAGTCGCATTAAAATTCTTGCTCCTACCAGCCTCTTGGGCTGGGTTCTCCCCCCACCCCTGTGCTGTGAATCTCGTGACAGCAGAAACGACACGCCATACTTCTTTTCATCCTCTAACATGTCCTGGTTACACAATAAATCTCAAGAAAACTTGATTGATAATTTGGGAGACAAATTAGCACTGTCGTATTAACTAGCAGGGTATTTTATTTAGGCATTTTTAGCAACAATAAGAAGATGCTAGCATCACCAAGTAGCTGGTTAAAATATTATTAGAAGTTAATTCATATTTTAGCAGATAATTCCTAATTAATTTGCTGTAGTTATCTTGTTAAATGTCAATTAAATCTCTGCACATCTCTTACAGGTTTCTGCTATTCATAAAATGTAATTATGCAGCTATTGCTCATGTACTCTTTATTGCTTATACAATCTACCAGTTAAATACAAGTCAAAAAGATTTATCTTCCAAGTTCTTAATAACATCACTAAATGTTCTAATTAATAATCAATAACCCATTTGCATAATTAATTGAGGAATGAATCCTAATGGGATGGTGCCTTGCAGCTAGCCAAGCTGAGGCTGAAACTCTTGTCTCCTGTAGCAATCCTAGCTCAGAGCAGAAGAGTTTATTTGAGAAACTGAGATTCCTTTAGGGCACAGAGAAGTGCTGGGCTTATCACTAATGACGGGAACGCAAATGATTTACTGGGAAATTCTTATTTACATTGTTTCTTAACAATGTGTAATATAAGCATCTCGGTAGAACGTAAGGTATTTGTGAGATACGAATTTTCACCGACACAGGCTTAGGTGAACAAAAATAAGTTTCTTCATTTTCCTAAAAGGCCATTTAATTTTCTGAATCTGAGCCCTCATTCCACCTGATGTAGAAACTTCATTTGGTCACTTTGAAGTAAACTTAGTCCTGTGTGGTATGTTCTCAGGTAAATGGGGTTAGAATTCAGTTACATTCTAGATTTGGAAAACCCAGAATCCCTTTCATCTCTTTTCCCTCCCCCTCCTGATTTTTCGCTGGGAAGGAGGTGGTCTTACAGTGGTCTCCCACCGCGGTGTCATCTGGATGGAGGCTGCCCCTTTCTTAGGTTCCACCTGTCTTGGCCCTGAGCTGTCATCCTTTGAGATGCAACGTGAATGTCTGGTCTTTGAGGGAGCCCCTTTCCCAAAGCTCCCCCCACAAAGTGTTCAATCATCCCCATCCTACATCAGCCTCGTTCTCTGAAGCATGTTTGGCTTTGCTGTAGCCTCCACGGTCCAGGTTCACAGGCTCTTTCTTTTCCTTGTTCGGACTCCCACGATCTGAGCATCCATCGGCCCCTTCCTCAGCCTTCTCCTGAGCTTGAAGATCACTTGGTTCTGAGTCTTTCTGTGACCCTGGAAAGACGAACCAGCAGTCAGGGGTCCCCACTGTGCCCCAACATAGGCTCACAGCCTCTCTGCTTTGTTGCTCACATGCCTAAGGCACAAAGGACACTGAAAAGAATGCTGAAGACAGCGTCTCCAGGTGAGTACAGAAAGACACAGATCTTCTCTCCCTGACCCCAGAAAATCACTGGCTCTTGTTCTACTCCCTTCTTTTGAATTATCTGGGGGTGGTGGGAGCATGACACAGACATAGACCCACATCTCTGCTTCCTAGATTCCCTCCAACTCTGTTCTCTCTCTTAAATATAGAGGAAATAGTGAGAGCAGAGATGGTTCTACTTAGGTGCATTCCTTTTCTTATATTTTCTGTCTTATACGAGAAATCTCAACACTTTATCTTAGAAGCTGACAATGTGACATCTTTGCTCTCTAGCTCTGGGGCTAAAGGTGGCCCGTTGTCAATAGCTGGAACAGGGATGGTCACAAGGGGGTAGAGAAAATAATAGGCCAGGTAGCATCTCAAAGTGTTCACTGTACCACACCACTATTGCGTCAGGACCAAGGCTGGGCATGCCGAAATGTGTGGAGTCATCAGTGTTCACTCCAGAGAGGACCAGCCCACAGGCATGGCGCAGAGGCGGGGAGGCAAGACAAGTTCCGGAGGGTTCCATGAAGTGGGATTCAGCCAGCTGTGGAGTCAGCTCCACTTGCCTAAAGTCAAGAGGATGGATGAGTGGAGCCCTCAAAGGGACTTTCGGTTTCCAGCAAGTTTCTCATAAAGCAGAGAAAAAGTGCTTTTCTGATTTTTTTTTTTTTATTCCAACTCTTTGGTTTTACTTAAAAAATAAGTCTATATGCTTGGGGCTGACAGCTCCATATTCTAAGAGTTTTTGAAGAAGTGAAAAAAAGAAATGGATTTAAAATAGAATCCCATCATTGTTCCTTGAACTACAAATTGCAAGTGGTGAAAGAAAATAATATTTTGATTTGAAAGAAGTAAACTGCTGAGCACGTCCTGAGCCGCTTAATGCCGTTGCCTCTGTTCAGACAGCGCTGTCAGGACAGCCACACATCAGATCAACCAGACCCATTATCACCCCACTGGAAAGACGATTGCTTGTCATCTTTTATGAAGCGTCTGCCCCTTTCGGTTATCAACAACAAGGAGCCTTACCCCTTCTTTCCTGCCTGCTCTTCCTCCTGCCTCTTATCACGGGAGAATTGCTTTTCACAGCGACCCTTCTCACAGACAAGAGCTGCGTCTTTTGTCCAGGAGAGCAGAGAGAAGATGAAACAGGACGAGTGTATTTATTTCACAAAGCTCCGAACGGACTGTCAGTCAGCTCAGCATACTGGTGTGGGAAGTCCCCCTGAAGATCTTGTCCAGCTCCTGTCTTCTGGCGAGATGCTCTTCAATTCCACCGGGAGAGGTCCCTCCCTCACCTCGAAAGTCTCTAGAAAAGGACCCTCCTTAGCCACCTGCTATTAGACCGTGACAGTGTCTTGCATTTGGAATGCGTTGTATCTAATTGAAACTTTTCCCGCTGCCTTTTGCTTTTCTTCCTCCTTGAAAAGTTTGCCCATAAATTATGAAGTAGCTAAAGGTTGTTTTTAGTGCCTCCTCTTCTCCCCACTGCCCTTTAATGCATCCTCTGCTCTTTCCATTTTCCAAGGCTTTCTGAGTCCTCATTGTCATAAAGGAAAGTAGATGGATACACTTTTTTCCCCTAAGACATTGGTCCCTTGCAAGATGAGCCCTGCAAGAAGAGAGCAGTGCTTAATACAAAATGTTGAATTATTAATGATGACATTTCAGGAACCTCTGTGAAAGGAAGATTGGGGTTAGGGGGAACATTGTCCACATCCCTCTATCATGCATGTAAGATTAGTTGTGACTATTGAGGCAAGGCAGCCAGCGCGAGCTTTGGGAGAACTGCATCTGGCTCTCTTTCATAGCTGTGCCATTTTGGTCAACTTAGCAAACCTCTCTGAGCCTCATTTTTCCTATCTGCTAAATGGGGGTAATTGGCCCACTTCACAGGCTGTTGTGAGGATTAAATGAGATGATGTAGGTAATGCATTTTCCATAATGCCCACCAGGTATATTGTGCTTAATGCAAACTGGCCATTATGATGATGATGATAATGATTATCCATGGTTACTTTTTATAGATACAATTAAAAGATTTTCAGATAGGCCAGTGGAATACTAAAAAGTATCAGTGGGAGCAATTGTTCTTTCTGCTAATTTCTTTGATAAATACTACTATATGACTAATACATGCCTTGGTCTCTCCCCAAGACAACATAGGCAGGCAGGCAGTGAAGCCAGTGGGGCACAGGGAAGTGAGAGGCTCCCCAGAGCACCATGGGAGTGGGTGGCCAGAGAGTGCGAGGACAGCTCCCCCGTCCTCTGCCTGCCATAAACATTCTGTGGTTCCCATTAAGTAGTGTGACTGTCAGCAGGAGCTGTGTGTTGGGTTGAACCTATGCGTGTTTCACATCTCCATATTTTATATTTCCCAGGACTGACCCATAGCAGCCTCTTTTATTCTAAGATAGAGGTCTGCTTAGCATACAGTCAAGGAGAGAGACAAGTCGTGATTTGGTGAAACCTGGAAGAATTATGAACTGTAGCAAAAATAGTCAACTAAGGGATAGCTAAGGCATATTTTCCTTTCCCCTTGATAACAGCAGAAATGTGCATCTTCAAGCATCACAGAAATAATCACCCACTCTCTATATTTTCCCCTTTTTATGGTTTTTATTGGTGTAGCAACATTATTCAAGCTAGGCTCTTCCGTCTCCCAAGCCAATTTCTTTTGCATCTGTGTTTATATTGATGCTATTCAAACAATGATCTTCCACTTCCCCTGTCAGTTTCCATCGTGCGTTTCACATATTATGAACTTATTTAAACAAAAATAATCCTCTCCAGGTACATTTCTTTCCCATCTGTTTCTCCCCTGCCCCATACTACCAATTTTCGTTTCAAAGCAACATTGTAATATCATTTATCATTTATTGTTATTCTCTCTTGTTTTCCTAAGCTGCTTCTATAGCATTCAGAGTGGAGAGGGTGGAGATATACAGCATTAGTGATTTATCAAGAAGGTGTTTCTTACTCAAAATGTATCTAAAAGGATTCATATCAATTTTTAAGAGCAATGAGATCTCAACAATGACTACACTTTATATTTGTAGGATGCTTTGAAGTTAGTTTTTAATGTACTTTTCCTAAGTGTCATTTTAGGGAGTTTGTAAAAAGAAAAAAAAATATGTAGCTTGTTATCCAGATCATTCTAAATATCCAGAAGTTTGGCAACATATCGTAGACTGTGTTGACGTCAAAATAAAATATAGAGACAAATCTCTCAATGTAACGTTTTATTTTGGGAATCATAGAATTGCAGTTTGGGGCACACACATGGATGGAGTGGTCTTCGCTATGTCAGAAGAACAAAGAGAAGGTTGGGAGGTTTATTAGAAAGGGAAATGTTATGTATTGTGTCGAAAGAAAGTTTATCGGTGCTAGTAAAGTTTTGGGAGCTAGCAAGCTCTGATTGGTGAGTAATGATGGCAGGTAAAAACTAGTCTTAGAGTC